GACGTGAACGGTTTAAGATGCCTGCAGCCTTAAAATTAAATGAATAGCGAAATGTGAAACTAATCATAATGACTTCTCTCACTTGCATCTGTGTTTCTTCCTTCTCTAGGAATGGATCCTGAAGCCCTTAAAAAATACTCTGCATTACACCCTAAACCTGCTGGACTCTCTCTTCAGTATGGCACCGCTGGGTTTCGCACCAGGGCCGAGCAGCTTGATCACGTCATGTTCCGCATGGGCTTGCTGGCAGTCCTCAGGTCCAGAGCCGTGGGAGCTACTATTGGTGTCATGGTTACAGCATCTCACAATCCTGAAGTAAGAACAACCTTTTCTTTAAAAAGAAAGCACATGCGGTCAGTCTGGTGGAACGAAAGCTCTTCATAGGACCAAGAGACTAGATCCTGAAGGCACTTGGACCTGTGTTTAGCCAGCTTCCTGTGAATAGAGTCTCTGACATGTTTGAAGTTACTTTTCCCTGTATGCACAAATGCTATTTTTTTCTTATGTGGAAATACTGTAATGTAGGAAATTCGTAATGCTGACAAACTAGACAAGGTCTCTCCCTTGAGAGAGATGAACCTTTGAGCAAAATCTTAAGTTTAACAAATAAGGAAATGCTGCAATTACAAACCAGGCATTTAGACTTCTGCTGCTGTGGAGCATTCCAGGTTATTGGAATCTCCCCTTATGTCATTTTAATGTCAAATGAATTAGGAAATTATAAGGAAGAGAAAGTCAGTTACTTAATATGTTGGTTACATTACATTTTTTGGCCTTGTTGGAGGTTTAAATAAACAGCTGAGCTATTGCTTCCCAGAAATGCTCCATGATTAAAGCAGCAATGTGGGTGAACCAGGTGTTGGCTTTCCTCGAAGAGATTTTTTTAAGTTTACCACTTTTAAGGCTTACTGCCTTTTGTTCTTGTTTCTTCTAAGGAAGATAATGGTGTAAAGCTGATTGATCCTCTTGGAGAAATGCTGCACCCTTCCTGGGAAGAGTATGCCACACAACTAGCAAATGCAGAGGAGCAAGAATTACAGCAAGTAATAACAGAGATCTGCCAAAAAGCAGCAGTGAACCAGCACAAAGATGCTTCAGTTTTTGTTGGTAGAGACACCAGGTAATTGCAAAATGCTGTAGGTGTATGCTGATTTTATGGGAGTGCCAACATTTTGTTTACAGCGGCTTTCGGATGTTTAGCCCTCTGCAGACAGGTTGCTGCTTCTTTTTATGCCTAGTCTGATACCTGTTAATTTATAGTTATAGCAATAAACCAAAGTTTTCCAGTGCTGTTTATGTATTAACTTCCCGGATAGCTATGAGAACTTCCTAGGACTGCTGCTGAACAAGATGCTTTATTATGTTTTTGTTTGTTTGTTTGTTTGTTTGTGGGCACCATGTGTTGTCCACATGCATTCAGCAGTATACTTGTCTTTGCAATTTTCTGGGGTGCTCGTTTTCAATCTTCTTTATTGGGAAGTGCCTACAATAGAAAAAGGTATGGATTTCTTCCTATCAGATCTAAATCTACTGGCAGGAAGCTTGTAGGATCTTCTTCCACATATAATTCCTTCCCAAGTCCGTACATAAATGTCTTCTGCAAAGGTTATCAGTTGTATTTGTTGTTTTCCAGGCCAAGCAGCGAGAAACTTTCACAGTCAGTAATAGATGGTATCTCTGTTCTAGGTGGTCAGTACCATGGTATGTTAAACTTTTGCAATTCTAGTCTGATTTCAAGTTTTTATGTCAATACGACTCTGTTTTGTAGACATAAAGCAGTAGCCCAGACACAATTTCCATTTTTGCTTGTAACAGTCTTCTTTCAGGGCAGCTGAATGGCCTTAATGCAAGGGGGGAGGGGGCCGGGGGGGGGCATCTTTTCAGAACAGAACTTGAAAAATTTTCTGTTAGTTTCCTGTACTGCATTTGTCTGTTTATTGTAGAATAACAAATGCTATGCAACGTTAAAGAAGGAATTAATTTTGTATTCTATTTCTGAATATCGTGCCTTTTATTTTGTGCTAGATTATGGTCTGGTGACTACGCCGCAGCTACATTACATGGTCTGCTGTCAAAACACCCAAGGGCAGTATGGGAAAGCAACGCTGGAAGGTTATTATGAAAAACTCTCCAAGGCTTTTACAGAACTGATAAAACAGGTGAATACTGGGTGTTGTCTTCTTTGTGCAAATGCAGAGAATGAGTATATTTTGTTTGTTAGCCTGTTTGAGTCTGAAGTTTCAAATTCACCATGTGTCGAGGTGTGCTTTCACTAGGGTATGAGTTCGCTTTGCCTTTTCTTCACTTGTGCTAAGTGTCCCAGCTCTGGAGAGAGTCAGAGGCGCCTGAAGATTGACTGTGCCAATGGAATAGGAGCTCTGAAACTGTCAGAAATGAAGCCCTACTTTCCAAAGGAGGTCCTAATTCACCTGTATAATGATGGAACCAAGGAGAAACTCAATCACTTATGTGGTGCAGATTTTGTGAAAGTTCACCAGGAACCTCCTAGAGGTATGCAGTCAGTCATTTTATGTCCTTCACCTGAAAGCTCAGAGTCTAGCAACAAAGTGTCATCTTCAGCTAGGCTGAGCTCCCTGTTCCTTACCAGGTGATTGCACGAAGGATTCTGCTGGCACAATGGCAACAGGGAGCCCGTGTAGCTGGGTTTGGCACATCCCTAATGTCAGGCTAAATTGTCTGGGGCAGGACAATATGTCTCTAACTGGCTCAAATACGTTTGCCAGGCTCGTCTGAATGTTAAGCTGGTGGAGTCCAAAGGTCAGTCAGGACTAGCTTGCTGTTGCTTACTTCACCTTCTTTTGTGTTATCAAGAAACATTTGCATTGTGGTCTGGGGTTGCAGATGCTTTTCTGGGCTCCTGAGGAAGCGCTGTGATAATTTACAGCTTGGTGCCAGTAGGCTAATGATTGACATAAACCACTGAGGAAATCATAGAATCATTCAGGTTGGAAAAGACCTCTAAGATCATCAATTCCAACCATCAACCCAACACCACCATGACCACTAAACCATGTCCTGAAGTACCACATTCAGATGTTTTTTGAACACCTCCAAGGACAGTGACTCTACCACCTCCCTGGGCAGCCTGTTCCAGTGCCTCACCACTCTGTCAGTAAAGAAATATCCAATCTAAACCTCCCATGGTGCAACTTAAGCCCATTTTGTCTCGTCTTATCACTAGTAACCTGGGAGAAGAGACCAACACCAGCCTTGCTACCATCTCCTTTCAGGTAGTTGTAGAGTGCGTTGAGGTCTCCCCTCAGCCTCTTCTTCTCCAGACTGAGCAATCCCAGTTCCCTCAGCCCCTCTTTATAAGCCATGTTCCCCAGACCCTTCCACCAGCCTCATTGCCCTTTTCTGGACACACTCCAGTACTTCAGGGGCCTTCAGCCCCAGAGGGCTGGGCCAGCACCCTGTGTCCAGCGCTGCCACAGGCTCCTGCCCGGGCGTCACTCTGCAGACGTTGGCCAGGGAAAGCAGTTCACCTCAGTTTTGGGTGCTGTGGGTGACTCTGTGCTCTGTGGTGACTAAGTGTGTGAGAAAAGGGGTGGGTGTTCTTCTGCTGCAGGGACTTCAGCCTTGTGCCGTACAGGACGTTCAGTGCTTATTGCCAACATTTAGGGATGTAACTACACACAGCAGTTTTGAGACTGGTTTTCATACCCATCTGGGGAGAAGGTTTAGCATAACAAATGTTTAGAGAACCTGCATTTTTTTTATACTAGTATTTATGTTTTTGATCTCAACGTGCACTTTTCCACTGCCATTTGATACAGCTTCCCTGGTGCAAGCCTCTTAGTAAAAGCAATGTCTGCTTCAGAGCATTAGGGTGGTTTTTTTCTGTTTGTGTGTATGTCTGCACCCAGCAAATTTTCACATGAGTTCCATACTGGTACTAACCTAAACATTTTGTATCTTTTCCTCTCTCTAACTTGCATTTGTAACTGTGTGTGCTAGGAATAGACATGAAGCCCAATGAGAGATGCTGCTCCTTTGATGGTGATGCAGATAGAATTGTTTATTACTATAAGGATGCAGCTGGCCGTTTTCACCTAATCGATGGAGATAAAATAGCAACTTTAATTAGTATCTTCCTTAAAGAACTTCTTGGCAAGGTAACTCTTAACCTATGAAATGAATGCTGACACTTTGATTTGTAACGTGTAAAACAGCCTAAAGAAACCGTGTTAGTTTGTACCTACATGGACTCTCTACCTCTACCCAAAGTGAACCCAGTTTAAAAAGAGATCAGTCCTGTACCTCATTGGTATGACCAAAAGGTTGTTTTTACAAGGGTGCAACTTCCACACTCCAAATAAAAATTATGAGCACTGATAATTTAATCTGAAAACTTTTCTTAGTGGGAGAGCACTTTTCCAGTTTCAGTGTACCAAGTATTGATATTCCATTCTCTTTGTTTCAGTATCTTTCATTAATTTTTTCATTAATTTTAGGTTCAGCCCTTCCCTCAGCATTTCTATGAATGCTTATGAAGGTTGAGCATTCCATTTTCATGAGACTCTGGTTGTAGCAGTCATTAGAGAGAAAATGCTTTTCTGTTTCAGAAGGCCTCTCATATTTGTTGTCTATAACACTAAACGTTGACGAGGTGTCCTGATATTGATATCTTAGAGAGCAGCTCATTTCTAACACTGTGGCAGAGAAGCTGGCCAGTCAGGAGAGCTTGTGCTTGCCACCAGCCTTTGCTTGATTTGCACTGGAAGCTTTGACTTTGCTGCTTGTGTATATGGCCTCATGTAATGCCCTGTGTCTGGCCAGTGCACTGAGCTTGCTGAGTCTGAAAAAGGGGTTTGGAAAGCCCAAGTTTGGAGAGCTGCTTCAAGCTAGCCACAAAAAATGTGATATGCAACAATTTGAACAGCATTCCTGTTGTCTTAAGCATATAGAAGTTCTTTGTGAGCTGGTGCCTTCCTTTAATGCCCAGGAGTTTTAAATGTCTGTAGGAGAATGTATGTTTAATAATTCTGATTATTATTCATCTGTCTGTGTGTCTATTGTACAGTAAAGCACTTTTTGCTTCTTGGTTTGCTCAGGTGGAGCAGCCTTTAAAGATGGCAGTGGTGCAAACAGCATATGCCAATGGGAGTTCAACACGCTACCTTGAGGAAACACTAAAGGTATGCTTTTTTTTTTTTTTTCTGGTATTTTCCTGCAAATGTTGTTTACTGCCAATTTGTTTACTTTAAAAATAAATGCTACTGTAATATGGCTAGGAAAACCTAAACTGGGCTAAAGTAAATGACTGTTTCAAACCTGTAGTAGCCACCAAATTACTGATGGTAAAGGAGACACAAGAGAGCAAAACTGAAAAAGTTCCAGTCAGCTTCTACTAATTTAAAAAAAAAAAAAAAAAGTTTTCAAAAGCAAAGATCTCTTGTTGTTTCTAGAACAACCTGAGGACTTCATGTCTTTGCAAGGTAGTGAGTCAGTAAAGGCTCCTTGATAATCATAAAATGAATTGGTTTTTTCCTTGTTTTGGGTTTTGTTCTATTTATTTATTTGTTGTTTAAAAATCAGGCTTTGTTTTCGGAATAAGTGAAATCTTTTTAATTGGGTCTGTAGAAATAGTGGATAATTTTAACTCTGGGGAGTCAGTGGTTTTGAAACACAGATTGTTGTGTAGCAGTCTCCCTGGGCTGCTTCTCAGTCCCTAGCACTTCACCTGCAGTTCCCATCTGCTGAGGAGAAAGAAAGGATAATGCTGTTTACAGTCTCTGCATGTCCTTGGGCTGCAGGTACCTGTGCACTGTGTCAAAACAGGAGTGAAGCACTTGCATCACAAGGCCCAGGAGTTTGATGTTGGTGTTTACTTTGAGGCAAATGGGCACGGTACAGTAAGTATGATTGTGTAATAAATGCATAAGATCAGCCAATATGTACAGAATCCGAATTGGATTAGCTGGAGGAGGAAGTCTTTTCGCACTCTACTTACATTTATAAACAAGACACTTCTCTCCTTGTTTGAGAGAAGACTTGTTTCCCTTTCTGTTTTTACCACAGCATTGCCACCAACTCTTGTTTTATGTGGGGATGGGGATTCCTGGCAGCAAACATTAATCGTGGTTATTTGGGCTTAAATGGTAAAAAATATTTTCCCCATTGCCACACATATCCTAGTTCGTGATGCAGGCTGGTCTTGACAAGCTCTCATCTTTTTATTCTAGGTGTTATTTAGCAAAGCTGCTGAAAGTAAAATAAGACAACTGGCAAGAGAGGAGAAAGACGACAAAAAAAGAGAAGCAGCAAAGGTGCTTGAACACATGATTGACCTAATTAATCAGGTAAAAACTGAGAGAAACAATTCAATATGTTGACAGTCATGGGGCTAACCCTGCTTGTGACTATCTGTCAGGCTACTGCCAGGGACTGCTGGAGCAGAAAGTAGGGTGCCATGGTAGAAGGGACCAAGAAGAAAAGGGCAGGAACAGTCTTCTTTAGGAAGATGTAATACTTTCTCAGGAGTGGATGCAGAATACTTTTATCTGTTGCAGTCTTCTGGCTTCGGGACCCAAAAAAGGGAGTGGGATAGCATGGGAGCCTAGTGATAGCCTGTGGCTTGTTTATGATTCAACAGCAAGCAATCTTCCATCTGATGTTTCTCACTGATTTACACTGGACAGGGGGATAGGGGTGTTCCAGTGCCTGTGTCCTCACAGCCCTGGATCTCCCTGTCACTAGTCACTGGGAGTAGTGCCGAATCATACGTTACAGGCCAGCCTTAAGCATCCTGACCCAAATCATACTTACTTAACCAAAGAACAAAGATGAGGTGCCAGTCCTCTTCAGGAGAGGTGAGGACTAGGACTTGTACAGCTCTGCCAAGGGCAGGTATGCTGCTGCTTTCCTTACCACAGGCTCAGCATGATAAGGGGATTAAAAACCCCAAAACAACACCACCTTCCCGACAAACTAACCAACTGCCCAACCTCTGGGGTACCCAGACTGCAGCAAGTTAGCCTGGCTGCATTTTTCACTCTCATCAGCTGGAAGCTTACTGCTCAAATCGTGCCTTTCTTTCTTCCCTGTTGACTGCTCCAGTGTTTCTTTCCTTTCTGTTAACAGACAGTTGGTGATGCTATCTCAGACATGTTAGTGATTGAAGCAATCCTGGCTTTGAAAGGTCTGACTGTGCAACAGTGGGATGCCATCTACACTGACCTTCCCAATCGGCTGCTCAAGGTTCAGGTGAGTCACACACTCAGGTGCTGCCTCAGGTTACTGCTGTGAGCACCTCTTGCCTGCATAGCTTTAGATAAAAAGGGCAGAAGTAGGCCAAACAAGCTGTGAAACAACCCAGAGGAAGCATCAGAACTTAATTTGGAATAAAACTATGACTTACACAAATGATGAAATAATAGCCAGCTGTGTTAAATGGAAAAACCTGAACAAAATTCAGCCTTTCAAATCAGAAACATACTAATACTGCCTGCTGGGCAGCTGGATTTTTCTTGCTGTGCCACTTGGTGTAACTTGAATAATCACAGTCTTCTTTATCTTCTGCAGTATTCAAAGAGCTTGAGCAGAACAGGCTCTCCTTGTGGTAGCATTCTGTTAGACACAGCAAGGGAGCTCTGAGCTCTAAATAAACTGGAGGAGAGAGTTCAAGCTTTCTGAGCTACTGGGAGAAGCTGCAGCTTCAGTTCAGAGGCTTACAAAGGAGGCACATTCAAACTGAGCCCTTTTCCAAACTGAGCAGCTGGCTCCTGTCAGGACTCGGTTAGCAGGTGCTGAGCCACCGCTCTGCAGGGATCTGAGAGGACACAGTGTTGGAGTTGAGTTAAGCATGGAACTCCCAAACCGAACTCCCCTTCAGGCAGCACAGCCCACCAAACCCTGAAGTTCTGTCTTACCCGTGGCCATTGTCACGTGGCTGCGGCCCAGTACTGAAGGGGCCGTCTGTGCCGGCGCAGGTGGCCGACAGGCGAGTGATTGCCACGGGGGACGCGGAGCGGCGCGCGCTGACCCCCGCGGGGCTGCAGGAGGAGCTCGACGGGCTGGTGGGGAAGTACAGGCTGGCACGGGCCTTCGTCCGCCCCTCGGGAACGGAGGACGTCGTCAGGGTCTACGCTGAAGCGGACGCGCAGGGCAGAGCTTCAACAACTTGCAGATGAGGTGGATTGGCTTGTGTTAAATGGTCTTGCTGCTTAGGTCATCACCATGGGGTGATGGAGGGAGGAGCACGTCTACCTACTCATCATTTAATCATGCTTAACAGGCACTAAATTTGGAAAAAAAACCACCTTGGTGATCACAAGGTCTCTTTGGATTTTGTTTATAAAATTGATGTTTAACGTTCTCGTTGTTTATCTTTAAAGTAAAAAGTTTATAAAGGCAATTTGACACTACGTGATTCTGAAAATAAAATCAGCCTTTTGGGATCTCAGGGTTAAGAGGAAAATGAACAAAGCAGCCCGTAACTGCATGATTTCATAAGAGGCAAAGCTAAAAAAATAAAAAAGAACTTTGGTTGCTGTCAAGAATTAGTCCACATGTGAACTTAAAGTTGACAGCAAAAGCAGGGGTCCTGCTCTTCCCCCATCACATGCTCCTGCTCGGTTCCTGCTGTCATGGCCAGTGGCAGAAGGACCCTCAGGGTGACAGAGCAGTACCAGGAGCACAGCATTTGCAGGAGAACACACTTCAGTATCATGTATTTGCTCTGACCTTCTCATACTGCCACCAACGTTAACTGACTTTTAAAACATCCCACAGGAGAACGCAGATGCCCTTGCCCATGAAGTAAGCCTGGCTGTTTACAACCTCGCTGGTGGAAAAGGAGCACCACCCCAGCCTATCTAAGGAACCCTACAACTGCTGTCAAAGTCTATAAGTTGACTCAGTTTTCAATATTTCCTCGCCCTTTGCTAGTGTGGACATAAACCAACTCTTCCTGAGAGTAGCAAGGATTAATCAGAGCTAAGTGGACTACTACTCTGCCTATTCTTTACCTCTGTTAGCAACTTACCTCTTAATGAGATGCTTTTGCTGCTGAATGGCTGAATGTTCCCCCTGCCCCCTCAAGACTGTCTAATTCCAGAAGATGAAGTGACTTAGAGGTGACTCGCTTCTTGACAGTTCCTTGTCATGCCCAGAAGGAATCCTGCCCCCACCCAGCTTATTTCATAAGTTACGTTCACGTTGTGCCTGAAGTCCAGCTCCCCCACCCTGGGAGCACTTTGGCTGCCTTGGGCTGGGGCTGTGTCGTGACGGTGCTGGCAGGGGCTGGGGCACAGAGCCCTGCTGCAGAAGACATCACCCCCCTTTCCCCCGCGACTGAACGTCCTGGGGGCAAACAGTACGAGGCAGAGGCTCCCACCGTCCACCTCAGTTCAAGGGGGAAACAATATAATGACAGAGAGCATTTGCAAATAATAATGTATTATTGCAATAATATCTTCATTAGATACTTCTATGAAATTTAAGTCTTGCTTTGAAAGCAATCTGCAGTGATAGTATTTATAATCACTTTTAAGAGGGAAGGGACAGGGACAGGTTTGTCTTCTGTGGCCCCTACTGCTCCACTGCAGTGTGAAGGGGCAGTACCAACAAGATGTCATGTTTTAAACACACGAGCATCCTTCTACACATATTTTTGTTTGGGGCATTTATCTCTGACAAACTTATTTTTCAGTGTAGTCCTGCATTAAATCCTGGCATAATGGCATTTTCCAGATTGATAAATAAGCACAAGTTCCAATGGATCACAAAGAAATCAAAAAAAAACCACAAAAATAAACTGGAAACAATTTGAAAAAAATGTGCACCTTGTATTTTTTGTTTAGTTTTTTTTTTTTTTTTTTAAAGACAGAACTCAAGACAACAAAACATGTACTGTAAATAGTAGGCACCATAATCAATATGACCCACCAATATTTAAACTCGATTCAGGCCACATCCAGAACTTTTCTCTTATTTACAAATATTTAACTTAAATACAACATTAAGTATTTTATTACATACAAAGTAAGAAAAGAATACTATACAACTGGGAAAGATACAGTATTTAATTTAAATAGTTACACTACATATAAGCTGAGCAGTACCAGTTTGGTTCATGTTTTTATGATGCCTTCAAGAAAATCCTTCTCAACCATTTCTTCTATCTTTTGTCTTGCTTTGCTGGAGAAGGTCTTGAGGTTCTCCATTTTTATGTCCTTACTTGGAAAACAGTTGGGGTAAAGGACAGGGCTCCCTGAGTGTCCAACGCATCTGCTTGTGACTTTGCTGTTAAAAACTTGGCTGAGTACATTGAAGAAAGGCAAAAGCTGCTCAATGCTGCGAACAGTGTAGATGGTTAAAAGCAAGTGACCTGGTTCCCAACTTAGTGTTTTCCCTGAGCTATCCTCCTCCGGGTTTTTCTGTGAATAGAAAATAATACAGGACAAAACAGAAGAAGCACAGGTAAAAATAAACTAATGCCCAATAAAGTAGTTTTCTATATTCCAGAAATATTTCTCCTATCAAAAACACAACCATGTGCTGGAGTGCAGTTCTCAAAGCAGATCTCCTTCCTGCTCCTCCCCTCACCATGCTTTGCAGCCCTGGTGGGCTGCACGTGGAGCTCTAAGCAAACACTTGAAGTTGTCATGGAAGAACAGTTCAGCTCCTCTTTACACAGTCTCAGAAGACCTTGGCTATGCACCTTCCCTTTCATGGGGGAGATGTCAAGGGAGAGAATTTCAGGAACCCCACCAGTGAAGGCAGCAGTCACACACCAGATGCTCACAAGCAGTGTCCATACACTGATGTAAAACCCTGTTTAGGGCTGACTTAAATACCTGTGTCCGGAAACACCTGAGCACTAACATCCAGCTGCTTACATGGTACTCTTTTTTTTTTTTTTTTGAGTCAAAAACCATATTCAAATCTAGACAATAAGGTACTACCACTACCAGGAACACATCTGGACTGTTACTGACAAACCAGTATGGGAGAGCTTCTGCTGTGAAGTAGAGTTTCAGCAATACTGGGTTTTATTCTGTGAGGAAGGAGGAAAGAAGCACAAAAGCCACATCAAGGAGAGCCAAGGGGGGGTGCAAGACTCTGCAGGCTGCACAGTTCCTGAAGAACAGACTTTGTAACAAAAGGAGAACGAGGGAAGAGAACAGTGGGAGCAGAGAGCAAGGTGAGAATTCCTGTCTGCACAGCCTTTGAGCAAACAGATTTTCTCCAAGACACAAGAGTTGAGCAAATACAGGTTTTGCCCTTTACATGAAGCAGGTGTCCTGCAGATCAGGAGCCTACATGACATCTGTTTCACAAAACCCAATTAGGACAAAATTAAATATGAACATATTCAGTACTTTAATCTGGTTGGTTGGCTCCCTATTACAGGAGACTGCTATTCTACCTCTACAAGTCTCAAGAAAGGCTCATAATGAACTAGAACAAAGAGAAGACTGAATTCTAACACAGAAAGAACTGATGCCTCCTTTAAGAACTTCACCTTGGATTCACAGAGGAGAGGCTTTCCTGCAGTGCTTCTCTGCTGTGCTTAGTGTGACCCAGTGGTGCGCAGGGACCACCTGCAGCATGCTGCCAGTGTCCATGTCACACAGCAAGTGGGGTGCATACACAATTACTAGTTCTCTCTCTGAGCAATGAGATACATCCTGTCCAAGCCATTTCCTCACAGCAGCAAGCATCTTCCTTCCTTGCTAAGCAAGCACCACAAGTTCCTCAAATACCTAAACGTGTGTTTCACACCTGCTGTTTGGCACAAGTTACTTTATTATTTAATTTTATAATGGTTTGCAAATGTAACTCTTCTTAGAACAAACATTAAATGTTTGTAACCTGTTTCACGCAGGAAACCAACTGAAAAATAACCTTTCAAGTTATCTATAAAAATAAAGGCATTTATGATTTTCATCTCAAAAAATCTCTTAACTTTGTTCCCTGACAAGACTGATCTCTCTCAGTTCTTACTGAAAGCTAAATACTGCCCATGGCCTTGAGATGATGGTATTATTATGGCGAGCTTGTTTCAGCATCTCAAGCATCAAAGGCTACCCTCACCTGATGCTTGGCCATCTCCATTCCCTCCAAAACCACCGTCTTAAAGTCCTCCTGTTTGTCCTGTGGAAGGAAAGAGGAGAACTTTCAGACTGCATTTCATATATCAAAACAACACTCTGCCATGAAGGCTGTGCAGTTGCTTGGCCGGGTGCTGCGCTTCAGTGAGAAAAATCACCCACCCCAACGAGTTCACGGTCCAGAAACAGCAGAGCCTGGAGCCAGTGTGGCCCAGACACTAACAGACAATAACAGCACTGCCACTTTGTTCTTCTCTTTATTGCCAGTAGTGCTAAAGGAGGCTTTTTAAGCACTTCTTCTGCAGACAGAGCCTGAGCAACACCATAGTACACGAATCTGAGCGTTAGTAAGAGCGCCCTGAAGGAAAATTTAAGATCCACTGAACTTTTTTCTCAGAAACTGTTATTTTCTAAGAAAAACCCACAGCTATATGCAACACTATTCTCCTCTGCACAAAGAAGAAATGGCCTGGAAGTCAACATTCATAACATGACAGTCCTCTCATCATCATGGTCCTAGCTATGGTTCACAGTGTGCAGCTGCTGCCGTGACTAGTGGGTTCCAGAAATTCCAGGAAGTTTTCTGTATTCTTGAAGCATATTCTGTAGAAATCCTGACTTCAGGAGTCTGTCTCAACACACAGTACTTACCAGCATATACATTTTATATCATACAGGGTTTATAATTCATGCAGAAAGATTATTTGGAGTGTGACAACTTTCTAACAGGTATCACATGCTACATTGAATGTCGGGGGTAAAGGCTATGCTTGATCAGCAGTCCCTTAAAACTGATCACTCCTTTACAAATCTGAGAAATTTAGTCTCATCTTCATGGTTCAAGAACAATAAAATGAAGAACGCAGATATGCTTCCCATAATTATTTTATCCCCTATAGTTGTAAGCCTACCTTGAATAGTTCAGATCTGCCTGCAACTAAGTTATGCCTAAGTTTTATGTTGCCACTTCTGTGTCAGCAATTGTTCCTTTACTCAGTGGAAACATTCACCAGGGATTGTAAATGCAGTAGCTACAGCAAGCTGCCACTGTTACAGCCCTGACAACAGCCTCCAACCTCTCCTTGGAGGGAAACCCAAGAATGAAACTCCAGAACTTTCTCCCATATGCCTTCAAGCTTCCTTCCTGTTTCCCTGGCCCACCCAGCACCCTTTCCCAGCAAAGTGGCTGCCCAGGGGGGCTCTGCCCTCACAGCAGGAGCAGCAACCTACTCACAGCAATTCTCTTACACTGTGGCAGCAGAAAGGAACTCCCTGGGATAGATCCATCAGCTTCATTAGCTAATCATGCCTCTGCCTCTACCCGCCCCCCCCGCCTCCAAACTAGGGTTTTAATATACTTCATGCACCAACACAATTACAACCTTAATTCTGCTCCCACGTTACAAAAGGTGCAGCCAGGATTTCCCCAGAAATGTTTCCACTGCTCTCTGCTGCCTTCCATTCATTGTAACGGCTTCAGGGAAGAAAGCCAACCCACCCTGGCCCTGGACAGTCTCAAAACTCTTGGTTCTGTTATTTTTAGGAAAGCAACAGTTTTCTAAATATTGAAATGTGATTATTATTAAGGAAAATGTTTTTTTAATCCAAAACATAGTTAGTTATACTAGTATCTACATACATGTCTGGCTATCTGAAAGTAACTTTATGTTGAAATATATTGGACATTGATTCCTATCTTACTTTTTACTCAACTAATACAAATCATATTTTTTAATTGGAAACTCCAAAGTCACTGACTGTAGT